GCTCTTCCGATCTCCCCAAAACCCCAAAACCCCTAAGACTGAAATAAATAATTTTGGAGGATAATTTGAATTTAAATAAAATTAGCAATGGGAAATTTAAACGAAAGTGATAAAAAGTCAAACGCTTATCTCTATCTTCAAGTAATGACTGAATTAAGAAACTAAATTGTTTTAGAGTTTGGAGTAGAGCTATATAACGATACAAATGATAGACGAAATAATGAGAAGATGGACAGATTTAGGGAAGCCATTGTTCATGGTGCCAAAGGATTTTAAAGAAAAGATACTCTAGGGAATGGACACAGAGATCAAATTCAATTATCTAGTAATATCATTTAACATTCAACTTTATCAGAGATGGTTGACTTAAGGACTTGAAATAGACATGTTTGAAATACTATCAGTGATTATTCTTTACTCAAGATGTGACTTAGAAGACAAATTTCAGTGTAAGGTATGACTATTTATTAAAATAGGTTTATTTGATTTGTATTGCTACACCGAAGAGATTTATATAAAACTTGATGAATTCAGATTTCTAGTTGAGAAGGGAATTACTATAATATCTGCGACACTCTCTCTTAAGAGAGCATACATAAACGATATCTACAAGTCAATAGAGTCAAAAATTTATTCACAAGGGAGAGATAAGTTCTCGAAAGTAGAGTATTTGCGTATAATGTTGATTCTTTCAAGAGAAGTATCTTCTACTATAGATGATTTGTCCCATAAATTTACGAATTTCACCAAGCAGATCAAGAAATACAGATTGCCTGAGTATTTAGAAAGAGATAATCTATTCCTAGGGAAATATATTATAAAAGAAGTCATATCCTATAATCAAATATATGAGAAAAATATGATGGGATTAGATACAGTTTTCAATAGAGTAATCAGGCAAAAAGACAGTGTGGGTGGAAACTCATTATAGCCCTCAGTACTTGCTACAAGAAGACAAAGTCAGGCCAAGAACGTTGAAGTAAGCTAAAGAAATTCAGTGAATATGTCAATTAGTAAAGACTCTGAATCAGATATAAATTAAAGTACAAAGTTATTAGAGGGAATCAATAACATTGCGAATGTTTTCAACCCTAAGTTTAAGGATGATCTAGACTAGCCAAGAACTGAGACTTTGAACTGGATGAGATTTTAAACTCTATTCAACTTGCAATACTCCTTCAGAATGAGAAGTATTGCAATGTTTGAGGCCACACCTAAGGAATATATATTTGACTTGTACATCTTAGATGACTCAAAATTCGATGAATTTTATCTCTTCAAGAACTTATGGAGGGAGACTTTACTCCTAAACTATTTAGGAACAACAAAAGATCAAAGCAGAGCAAACAAAGTAGTATCTTTCGGTTAGCTACCTAATAAAATCATTTTCAGAGAGATAGAAGAGATTAGCTGCATTACTCTGGAGGAATACTTAAAAGCCAAAGAGCAAAGCGATTAGATGAAGGAAGATGTAGATAAAGAATCAAACCAGAGTCCTGTAATAGATAAACTCACAAATGGATTCAAAAGAGATGTTGATTCCAAGAATCTTAGCAAGCATCAAGTCTTGTTTGATGAAGATTAATACATCTCGAAACAAACTCAGTTCAGCGAAGTAGATGCTATCAACATAATCCTTAAGTTAATTGATCTGATTCAGATATTACATCAGAGGAATATAGTTCATACTAATTTCAATCCAAATGAGATATACCTGAAGGAAAAAAACATAGATAAAATGTTCTTTCTGAATCTCTATTATTGCAGTTGGGAGACACTCAATACCATAGGCATATTCCTGCCAGATGATGGGGATAATCTAAGTTTATATGATGCGAGAGTGAGGAATAAAAACTATATATCACCAGAGCAAATTAAACTAGGCTAAGAGTTAGACTTGATACTGAGTTCTAAAAATGGCAAGTTAGATGAGACTAACCCAGAGGTGATTGAGTATCAATTGACTAACAGGAATAAAATAAATAAGCAATGTGATGTGTACTCAGTTGGGGCAATACTCTACAGATTGCTTCTTTCTACCCCACCAAGTCTTTCGATTTCAGAGTATATTCAAAAGAAGAGACTCAATGAGAAGAGTCCAGACTCTAATGTGTATGAGGTGCCCTATTTCTTCAAGGACTATATACTCTCTAACGATATGTGCTATATATTGGTTAGACTCCTCCATCAGAATCCAAAGTATCGATTCGGCGACCTAGACCAAGTTAAAGATGAGTTATTTAGACTGCGTGAGAACATATATTCAACTCCACCAATGCTGAGAAAAATCTTAGGCCATCCAATCCTACCTAATGAGTCTTATTAACAACACGCTTTACCTAAAGTGATAGAATTCAAAAATTCTAGAATGAATGAATTTTCTTTAAAGTACTTGGCCAAGTTTATCTATGAACATAATGTGGAATCAATTAGTATTAACGGAGGTCCGATGCCTTTATACTAGTTGAAGAATAACTCTCTGATTGAACTTAATCTGAGGGACTAGAACTTATTTAGCGAAGACTTGTTCATTTTATCACAGTTTCTGAAGCATAATAACAGTGTCACTCACATAAACCTTTCAAAGTAAATATTATCAGCATTATATCTATAGGAATTCAATAGGATACAAATATGTTGAGGAAAGCAAAATTATTGAAATGAAAATGAAGCATCAGGACAAACTCAAAGACTTTTCATTTGAATAGCTATTCTATGATAGTTTAGGTATAGAGCACTTATGCATTGCCCTGGAGCACACAAGCAGATTGAAGATGCTTGATCTGTCTGAAAATGATTTAGGAAGCACGAATTTCAGAATACTATTGAAGATCTTCCACAAAAATAATGAGATTGAGTTACTTAATGTTGCAGATTGCAAGGTAACACTAAATTAATGATCTTAAAATCTATATAGCTTGATGGAACATGCGCTCAGTAGTTATGCAAAATATTGTAGAATAATCATCAATTGAGATATCTTTACTTCAGAAACTCAAATATCGGGGATTAAGGAGCAGAGGCTGTGTCTGAACTGATTAAGGATCACAAGACTTTAATTGAACTTGAGGTCTTTAACTGTGGAATCTCAGCCAAAGGTGGCCACTCAATAGGAGATGCTCTCAAGACTAATTTCTGTATTGAAAAACTTAGCATCGGTGAAAATGATCTAAATAAGAGAGATGTAGAGTAGATTCAGTAGTCAGTGATTTTCAACACTCAATATAACTAGATGAAGGAATCAAATAAGAAATTCGAGGGTTTTGCTCATAATCTTATTGCAGAGTCATTGAAGAGATGGGCTAACCAAAGTAATTTCGTGGCAGCCAAGTTGCAAGAGAGACTGTAGTGTCCTCTTGATGAGTTAGATTAGAAGATTGCAGATGTAATGTTTGACGGTAAGGGCAAGATGGACTTGAAGCCAGTTCCAACTAAGTACGAATACTCTTCAGGAGATGGCTAGATTGATTTCGCTCAAAAGTAAAATTGAATTGCTTATATAAGTTTCTTAATCTTGATTTCATGACTTTTCATCACAACGGGGTTTTGGGGTTTTGGGGTTTTGGGG